AAAGGGGAGGAGGGGGAGTTGAAGGGGAGAGATAAGGGGAACAAGTGCCGCTGAAGAACGTCGCCTGAGACGATGAGCAGGCGACGGATGACAAGCTGTTTTGGGGTGGGAGAGAGGGGGGGGGGAGGTTGAAGGGGGGTGTGAGGGAGGGGAGAGGGGGGAAGGACGGTTGTGGGCGGAAAGGCAGCGGGATAACACGGATCTGAACGTACATGAGGAGAGCACATAAGAACAGAACCACACATTTCGTGATGGTACCCAATGTTTCGACTTTGACGCCTCAAAAACAATAAAAGCTTCGCTGCTGGTTCAAATTCCTGAGATATCGCCCGTAAGAACTGGACGGCAGCTTTTTATTTAAACGCCTCTCGTTTGGTACGTCACTCAGAACCGGTCGTTCTTTGGTGCGATACCTGACACCTAGTCTTTCGGAACAGGACGACAGAGCCACGGTAGCGTGGAGTCGGGCAAGCGAGTTCTGAGAAATCTCAAAACTCGTTCTTTCGGTTCGTACCTTATCGTTCGTCTCTCGGAACCAGAGAACAGAGCCACGGTAATGAGGAGCCGAGCAAACGATGTGACATTTGAGTCGACTCAAAAGACAATACCTGATCGTTCGTCTCTCGGATCCGGATGACAGAGCCACGGTAGCGTGGAGCTGAGCAAGCGGCGAAGCCAACGTTGCGGTCCCCATGATTGGCTGACGCTAGAAGTAAATGGAACTCTGTTACGGAATGTCTGGCAGGAGGGGCTAAGACGACGAGAGAATAAGCGGAGCTCACAAAACGTGTCCTGTGGGCGAGATTAAGCTATCCGACTGGGCCGTGCTTAGGGTAAACCGCGGTTAGGCGCTAAGCTCATGAAGCAACGCGCTACCAGATCTTGTATCGGATTCGAAACGCTGATGCGAGATTCGTCGACGGAATAACGCGAAGGAAGGGAAGTGACTAGGATCAGGCGGCGAATAAAGCTACCATGAACCGCGTAAGCCCGTCACTTATCAAGCAAACAGCCTTGGGATTGCCAGGAGGAAAGGAGAGACTCGGTCACACGGCAACCGAAATCTCGAAATGTGGAGGGAATCCGTTAGGACAGCCTCGGGAAGTCCAAACAAGACTATAGCGAAGCATGTTTCTAGTCCCTTCTCTACGGCGACTGCTGGAGATACGAATGATGAGCTGGAACCAGTACAGCACAGTCCGTTCCGATGTTGGGGCAGATTTGGATAAATTTGGCCATCAGCGGCTCTGCTGCTCACCCTCTCCTCCCATCTTCCGAAAAAACAAGCTTTTGACGTGGCAAATGGTTACGAGAGTGACGTGGCTGGTTCTTGTGTGTCTCCACTCTGGCGACTTCGGGGAGCTACTGTACATCCACATTTGCCACGACATTTGCCAGCTTGGAAAAATACTCGTTAACACCAGAACACTACTTTTGTGTGTGCCACAGAACGTGTTTATGCAAACGATCATGCACACACCAACATGTCCTTCTATACTGTATTCCCCATAATATATCTAGTATCTTGATGCACCACAATCACTGCCTTGGCTTGTAGAATAGTCGTTTCTATACACCACAAGTGTCCAAACATGAGCTAAATGCAATTTGTGGATGTCCAAACAAAGGTAGCCAAATTAGCTGCAACTAAAATGCACAACAGATTGAGGACGCTGAAGCACCTAGGAAACACCATAACCGTCATGTCACTACCAGAACAAAATTTACACGCCACCTATAAGATGCCCCACTTGCTCTCTTCAAGTGCTTTTGAAATCGACGCACTCCGGCGCACCCAGCAGCGATGTCGACTGAATTTTCAAACCATAAGGTTGATGCGGTGATGTCTTCAGTGAGAGATGACACTTGGCTAAAAGCGAAGAACGTCCAAGGGAACGAGGGCAGTTCCAGATTATCCCACGGACACCTTGAAGTTGGCTAGTCGATTCGGCTAATCAAGGCGGGGCGGGGCGAGGCGAGGCTATTACACTGAGTGCTGGTTCTGCTGCTTCTGCGACTCTATGCGACTGATCCTCCGCTAGCAAACCCGACATACCATCAGGAAATCTACGCCAGTTGACCTCTGATGGTGAAATACCAATCCGACATTTTCTTCGGCGGCCACGTGATCTTAACATAATAGTCCGCCGGGGCCTTCGCTATAGCGGAGGCATTCGCTTTATTCAACTTCAGCTTCCCGGTGAAAACCTTAATCCGCCCGCGAAACCCAACCGACGACCATTCTCCCGTGATGTTCCGGCTGACAATCTGCCCGTACAGCCCCTTCTTGCCCTTGTACAGCCCCACTCGCGTCCATGGATCCCACGGATTAAACAGCGACGAGTGCTTCCCCTTCACTTTGCCCGTGACGTTGATTTTGCAGGAGAAAACTGGCGGTTCGACGGATGCCGTGGCCGGTTTCGCCGCTGGGCCCGCACCGGTCGACCTGACCGTTGCATTTAATTTGATATCGATTGGTTTCCCGCCCTGCGTGAGGTCCCAGTCGAGCGACGCGTTCATCCCAAGGGCCTTGACGAGGATCGGGCCGTACCCGCCTTGCACCACGTTTTCTGGGAGAAGTTTCGCTGCGGTGGCGCCTGATATGGGAAAGAAAACGGGAGAGAAAGGAGGTAATGCAAGGAAAAGAGGGACGTTAACGGGAAAGGGGCAATGAGGGAACGATGGTCGCTTTGCACTATATGTGAGAAGGGGAATAAATGAGGAAGCAGTGACGGGGTAAACGGAGACGCAACGGGAGGCGAAAGACACGCGCGGCAGGTGAGAGGACGCGCGTAACTAGGGGAGGGGGTGGACGAGGAAGAGGATGACAGTTTTGGAAAAGGGAGGTGGAGAGCGAGATACTGGTAGATACAGTGTTCGTGAAAAAGGAGGTATGACAGGCTGATGGAGAAATTGAGAATACGTTTCTGAAGGCGCGAGGATGGAAAGTAGGTTGTGGAGAGTGACGGGTGGGAGTGGTATCGATAGACAAGGAGTGAAGATGAAGCTACGTGAGGAACGAGATATAATCGATGTCCACGCTTCTTATTATTCGTAACTCGCAATACGGTTCAATCCTGTGTAGCAAGCAGTCACAAAGGGGCCGAAGAGCAGAATAGTTGACCACCAGGTGCAAGGCAACCTCGATGGCTTCCAGTGACGGCTATTTTCCTCGTTTAAAAGCAGTGAAGGAGGGGAAAGGAAGATCAATAATCACCATGGAAACACGATGCGCTGAGGCAGAACAATAGCACTGCGAGTCCCGCGGAGAGCGCTGCATCCCTGGAAAGCGACATGTCTATCGTGAAGTTACCAGCTTGTTGGGTGAAGTTTCCCGCTCAAGCGGGTCTACGATACGTTGACGAAATGGCGCTGAGGCTGAAAGTACGTGAACAAATGTGGGAAGGGCAGTCACAAATGAGTGAAGTGATAGGGTTTGGAAAGGGTGGGCAATGTGATCGTTGGAAGTGGTGGAGGAGGGGTGGAAATGATGACCAGCTTGACGGGGTGTTGTGTGCAGGTGAGTTTGACGAAACGCACACGAAAATTAACGACGTGGTAACAAGGTGGGTCTTTTCCTACAACTTGCCAGCTGAGCTGTTCGCGAATGGGTGTCACTGGTGATGCGGACACCCACAAGAACTTGACGGAGAAACGACACCGAGGCGCGATCACCACACATGCTGCACCGTGCGCGGTCCAGCGGATTCCCCGTTGATGTTCCTGACATGGGCGAACCGCAATGTCGGCTAGGCGAAATGGGCTTTCCAGCTGGGTGCCCGACTCGGACATGATAATGCCGCCAAAGGCATTTCGCAAAAAGTTGCCTAGGGACGAGCTTCAGTATATCGAAAGTTTATGAGCACAAAATCCTAAAGCTTGCCTCTTGAGAGTATGTGTTTGGGAACGCAAACTCTCATATAGGTCTGTAGGAAGAACCCATACGAGTCAGCTAGTGAAGAGTATATTCAGCTGGTTGTTGAGCCTTCTCTGACACCACAAATCAACGCTGCTTCGTCACAGTGGTTGGTGAGACAGACGTGTCTGGTTTGGGCAAGGTTAACGCGGAGGCTGTTTCGACTCCCGAACCGAAGCGACCGCCCGAGCCTCCAGAACCACCAGCAGATTGGGGCTTGTTTTGTGTATTTGATGTCAGGTTAGGGTCGTGCTCGTAGTAACTCGTAAATGGACCTCTGTGACGCGGATTTTTGAAATTGGAAATGCTATCCAACACACCTCTAGCGCAAAAAAGTTGCCCAGTGTACCCCAGTGAGACACCATTCGGGTGAACTAAAGTCAGTCGTGCAGTGTGAAAACTACGTCAACATCGATCTCGGTTTTCTGAGATGCATCAGTACAACCTGCACCGTCAGCTGTCACGAAACAATTCTCAATATGTACCGCTTTGGAACGCATCAGAACATACAAAACCGTGGTGCGTGAATCGAAGACGAAGCGCGGGAAAACCGGAGGAAACGAAAGGTGCACAGCAAGCTATCTCTCTCACACCCTACTCAACCATCTTGGTGGTAAAGCAGATCGCTGTAAAGCGTACTATACCATATTAAAGCGTAATTAACCTTGTGGAGTTGCACTTGCAACAGAACAGTCAGAACTGATGTCAGATTCCTGAACCAGTAAGGTTCTCACCTGCTGGTTCCAAAATCCACAAGTTTTGGGCAGAGTATTCTTGGTAGGTAGCTTGCAGCAAATTCCGGGTATCTTAGCTGTGTATTGCCGTCCCGTGGACTTTAGTCCCGCCGTCTCTTCGCGACTTCATTACCACCATGGCCATGTGGTTACTAATATTTACGCTTGGTCTTCTTAGCTCGAGCATTCCACGAGCAAAATGCACTTTCAATGTGGAAATGCAAAGCCTGGTGATTTCGTCTCCCGAAAACATCAAGGGGGAGTACCAAAGCGCTATAGCGAATTTCGGGACCCCTCAATATGGAGCATCCCTTCAGGGAGTGGTAATCTACCCCGATAAGGACCCGCAGATGTGCAAATCGTCGCGGAGTAACTACGGCAGGAAATCGTCCGCTGAGCTTCCTCACATTCTCCTTGTCGACAGAGGAGGTAATTGTCTGCGAGCTAGCAAAACTTGGAGCTGTAGCTATCGATAATAACCTTGGTTCTCCAGAAATCGTTGCATTAGTTTGCTGTTACATTCCGTCATTGGTAAAGCTCAACCAAGAAATTTAGGTTTGTCACAAGTGTTCTATGATTTCAACGTCCCCCTCCCCTTTTTCCTCTCTTCCCCCTCCTTTCTTGTGGAGCGCTGAGCCCGAAGAAGCATCCGTGCGTTTGAGCCGATTCAGAAGCCTCAGCCTCAATTCCCCTTTCCTCGCTCAATTGTATAGTATCACCACCAACTCCCCATTCCCCCCATCCCCTTTCCTCTCAGGATGCTACTTCACGGAGAAGGTGTGGAACGCTGAGCAGGCAGGAGCATCCGCGGTTCTGATCGCAGACGACCAGAACGAGAATCTGATCACCATGGATTCTCCCGACGATGATCCCGAGGCCAAGCAAGCCGGCGACCTCATCAGCAACATCACCATCCCCTCGGCTCTCATCCAGAAATCCACCGCGAGCGCAATCAAATCCGCACTCAAGAAGAAACAGATGGTCGTGGCGGCTCTTGATTGGCAGGAGTCTCTGCCGCACCCTGACGCGCGGGTCGAGTACGAGTTCTGGACCAATAGCAATGATGAATGCGGGACCAAGTGCGACATGCAGGCGAAGTTCCTGGAGGAATTCCGGGGGTACGCGATTATCTTAGAGCAGCAGGGTTTCACGCTCTTTACCCCGCATTATATGACCTGGTTCTGCCCGGAAACCCTAAAAGAAACGCGGCAGTGCAAGTTCCAGTGCGTGAACAACGGCCGGTACTGTTCCCCGGATCCTGAGGGGGATTTCGACAAGGGGTATGACGGGCGGCAGGTGGTGATAGAGAATCTGCGGCAGCTGTGCGTGTGGCGCGTGGCGAATGAGACGGGCGCGCCGTGGGTGTGGTGGGAGTATGCGGCCGACTTCAAGAAACGGTGCCGCATGGAAGACAAGCAGTACAACCAGGAGTGCGGCGAGAAGCTCATGACCGGCCTGGGTGAGTGTGTGTGTGCGTTCTGCTGCTCCTGGCATGTGTAGCATGGGGTTTAAAGGCGGTGCCGCATGGAAGACAAGCAGTACAACCAGGAGTGCGGCGAGAAGCTCATGACCGGCCTGGGTGAGTGTGTGTTTGTTGTGCTGGAATGGGGATGCCGGTGCTGCTCGTGGCATGTATAACAAGAAAGGTCGGGAGGCAGGGGGAGGGGGGAGTGGGTAGGAACGATGCCGCATGGAGGAGAGGCAGTACAGCCAGGAGGGTGGTGAGAGGCTCATGAACGGTTGGGTGCGGGCGTGCAAGAGCGAATGCATGTGCAGGCCAACAGGAATGCATGTATGAGCTCAGCAGGCCTGACGTACTGACTCATTCCAATCAACCAGCTCCCCCACTCTACCCGTCTCCCCCACCTCCCCCCCCACACAGTTGTGATCCCGTGCAAGGTGCGGGCGTGCATGTGCGGGCCAACAGGAATGCATGTACGAGCTCAGCAGGCCTGACATAGTGACTGATTCCAATCAACCCGCTCCCCCACCACCCCTTTTCCAAAACCCACGCCCTTTCAGGTGTCGATCCATGGGCTAGCCCAACAGGACTGCAAGTTGTGTGTGCGCATGGGATCCAATCAAAACCCCCTCAACACCCCACCCCTCCTTCTCCCTCCTCTCTCCCCAACAGGCGTCGATCCGCAGAAGGTGCGCGCGTGCATGGGCGAGCCCAACAGAAACGCAGCCAACCCCGTGATGGAAGAAGAGCAGGAGGCTCAGGTGGGTGCTGTGCATGAGGAGGAGGTGCCTTACCTGGTATGGTTGCTCTAAACTAGGCTGTACCCACGCAAGGTACGTGCATGCATGGGCGAGCCCAACAGAAACGCAGCCAACCCCGTGATGGAAGACGAGCAGGATGCTCAGGTGAGTGTTACCCTGCTCAATATACGAACGATCTGCATGTGAAGGGGAGTCAACGTTTGAGTCCCCTCAAAGCGTGCATGGGCGAGCCCAACAGAGACGCAGCCAACCCCGTGATGGAAGCAGAGCAGAACGCACAGGTATGTCACCAGTACCTCTTTGAACTTGCATCGCTCGTTATATTAGTCGACTAAAAGACGTGGGCGTGCATGGTCGAGCCCAACATGAATGCAGCCAACCCCGTGATGGAAGACGAGCAGGATGCTCAGGTGGGAGCTCTTTAGTGTCACATTCACGCCTGACATACCCCTATAATGACTGAGCTTGTCTAAAGACCCAAACCCATATTCTATCCAACCCCATTCCTGCCACTCCCCCCACTCTGCCCCATCTCTGTCAATCCCACCACTCTGCCTCATTCCTCCTGCTCTTGCTCCTCTCCCCCCGTTGTCCCCATCGCATCAGGTGGGCAAGCGTGGGAGGAGCGATGTTACCATGTTACCAACCATTGTGATCAACAATGTGCAGTACAGAGGTAGGCAGTTGGTATCAGTTAAGAGGTGACTTCTGAGTTGATTGTTACTATGTCACCTCTGTTACCATGTTACCAACGATTGTGATCAACAATGTGCAGTACAGAGGTAAGTGGCCAGTGTTTGGCATTAGTAATGCGAGTATTGAACATGCTGCCACACGCACATGCGTTGTGCTCACACATGACAGCATGTCATGGTGATTGCATGTCTTGCTGATGTCATATTGTGCTGCTGTCATACTGTGCTGATGTCATGCATTATGTTCATTCGTATGGATGATGATGGCATGGCGTGGTGATGGCATGTCATGGTGATGGCATGTCATGATGGTGGCATGTCTTGATGATGGCATGGCATGATGGTGGCATGGCATGGTGATGGCATGGCATGGTGATGGCATGTCTTGATGGTGGCATGTCATAATGGTGGCATTTCATGATGGTGGCATGATATGCATGGCAAGTGCAGGAAAGCTGGAGGCCAAGGCAGTGCTCAAGGCTATTTGTGCGGGCTTTGAAGAATCCACAGAGCCTCCCATCTGCCTCGGAGCCGGTATGTACGACCACTCAAAGCTGCTGGCTGCATGGTGATGCATGTGTGGAGAATGCATGGTATGGTGACTACAGGCAAGCTGGAGGCCAAGGCAGTGCTCAAGGCTATCTGTGCAGGCTTTGAAGAATCCACAGAGCCTCCCATTTGCCTTGGAGCCGGTATGATCATGTGCAATGTAACACTCCATGTGATACCCCACGTTTTACTCCTCCGGACCAGGTTAAACTCAAACAGTAGTGCATTCTCATCATTCACAATCCTTAACCAGTCTCAAACACAGGTCTGTTTCGGAGTAGCTACTCGCAACCAACCGATGGCGCCTCCTCCTCCCTCGTTTTTTCTGTTTTTCTTCAACCCGCCACGCCAACAGAGGTGCAAACAAACGAGTGCCTCACCAACAACGGGGGCTGCTGGAAGGGGCACAACCTCACAGCCTGCAAGGTGCGGTTTGTTCTGAACCACAACATTCTGATATCCGAAACGCCATGCTGTGTGTGTGGGGGGCACTGTGAGTCAAGAAGGGCTGCTGGCAGGGCGCACCTCACAGCCTGCAAGGTGCGCTTCATTCTGATCCCCCTCCCTCTCTCCCCCTTGCAGGACACGTTCAGAGGCAGGGTATGCGAGTGCCCCAAAGACTCTGTTTAAATATTTAGGACACGTTTCCCTCTGTCCCCTTTCAAGCAGTTCCTCTCCCCACCTCTCTCCCCTCTGCAGGACACGTTCAGAGGCAGGGTGTGCGAGTGTCCCAAAGATCACATGTTTCCCTTTGCCCTCTCTCCCTCTATCTCTCCCTCTCTCTCTCCCTCTCTCTCTCCCTCTCTCTCTCCCTCTCTCTCTCCCTCTCTCTCTCCCTCTCTCTCTTCCCCCCTTGCAGGACACGTTCCGAGGCAGGGTGTGTGAGTGTCCCAAGGACCCTGCCACGGGGGTCTATCTTACCGGGGATGGCTACACTAAGTGCGAGGGTGAGTACTTAGACAAATTTATTTCCCATAACCACTACTGTGTTTCAGCCCACTTATCTTTCCGTCCTTCGCTGCACTACGTTTTTTATTATTATTATTATTATTTGTTTACATGCTCTCGTGATTCATTCACTTCTTGCACTGCTCAACCCACGTGCTCTGCTTGCCCCATGCGCTCTGCTCCTCTCCTCACCCGCACATGCAGCGGCGGGAGTGGGTCGGTGCCTGGTGGGCAACGGGGGATGCTGGCGGGGGGGTCCTTCATTCACGTGTTGTGTTTCCCTCCCCACCTGACCTGCTCTGCTCTCCCCATTCCCATGTTCTCTGCTGCTCTCCTCTCTTGCACGTGCAGCGGCGGGAGTGGGTCGGTGCCTGGTGGGCAACGGGGGATGCTGGCAGTCCACCCACGAGGGAAAGACTTACACCGCCTGCCATGTGAGTTGTGCTGCGGGTCTGATCTTGTTGTGGCACGATAGACTGCGTGCAGTTTGAGTCGGCTCTGAAAGGGCGATGTGGGAAAGACTTACACCGCCTGCCATGTGAGTTGCTGCTGTGCTGTTGCTGCTGTGCTGTTGCTGCTGTGCTGTTGCTGCTGTGCTGTTGCTGCTGCTGCTGGTCTTGCTTTTGTGCCTGCTATTTGAGTGGAGGATGCTGCCAGCTGGCACAGTTTGCACTGTTTGAGCTGACTCAGAATTGGGCAACGGGGGCTGCTGGCAGTCCACCCACGAGGGCAAGACTTACACCGCCTGCCATTTGAGTTGCTGTTGGTGTTGTTGATGCTGCTGCTGCTGCTGCTGCTGCTGCTGCTGCTGCTGCTGCTGCTGCTGCTGCTGCTGCTGCTGCTGGTATAGCTGTGACGCGGACTGCCATGTGAGTCGGCTCTGAAAGGGCAATGGGGGGTGCTGGCAATCCACCCACGAGGGCAAGACTTACACCGCCTGCCACGTGAGTAGCTGTGTTGGTTGCTGTTGTTTGGTTGTGATTTGTACTCTCTGAGAGCTCACTTCTCTGAAAGGGCGACAGGGGATGCTGGCAGTCCACCCACGAGGGCAAGACTTACACCGCCTGCCATGTGAGTAGCTGTGTTGGTGCTGCTGGTGCTGGTGGTCCTGCTGGTGCTGGGGTTGCTGTTGTGCATACCATGTGAGTCGACTCTGAGGTGGGCAATGGGGGGTGCTGGCAGTCCACCCACGAGGGCAAGACGTACACCGCCTGCCATGTGAGCTTTTGTACGCTGTGAGTTCTGGGTAATGCTCACACCACCCTTATCACTCCTCCCCCCCGCTCACATCAAGCAGGACAGCTACACCTCCCCTACCTCCTCCCGTGTGTGTCACCAAACCTGCCTCCCCTCCTTTGCTCTCACCCCCTCATCCCTCATCCCCCACTCTCCCGCTCACACCAAGCAGGACAGCTCCACCTCCCCCGCCACCACGTGTGTGTGTCCGCCGGGCTTCCTGGGCAATGGGCATCACTGCAAGGACATCAACGAGTGTGCGCCCTCACACCCCGCCTGCAAGTGCCCCGACTGCAAGTGCCGCAACACGTTTGGGTCGTACGAGTGCACGTGTGTGGGCGAGGACATGGTTTATATCGACCAGCTTCAGGCGTGCATCAGTAAGTGGCATATGATTCGACTGATTTATTATTCCCTTTCAAATTTACGAGCTTGGTTATGGTCGTATGAGTGCTCACGCGTCGTAATGGAGTACCTTATTGGCCCGAGTGCTTGTTTTCGCGTCTCACCGCATCTCTCTCTCTTTCACGTCTCTTAGCACTCCCGTGTATATCTCTCTCACACGCATCGGGCAGGGTATCTGAGGGCTCAGCCCGTACTTGTACCATCTGCGGTGGAGTAGTGGCCTTTGTGTTGGCCTTAATCCCTGTCCTCATGCTCTCCACTTCAACTCTCTCGCATCACATGAATGGGGCTGCCCCTTATCCTACTTTTTACACTCCCCACTCCACCCCTCTCACACACATCAGGCAGGGTATCTGAGGGCTCAGCCCCAACTCGTACCATCTGGGGTGGAGTGGTGGCCATAGTGTTGGGCTTCATCGCCGTTTTTGCAGTCCTGGGATATTTAATGTACCAGTACCACCTTCGGGTAAGAATTCCAACTTTCACCATCAGTTTCTCTATTACTGTGTAAGCAGGTGCGAGGCCCTTCGATATGGTTTCTCACCTCTCGCTTCATCCAGTTTTGCGAGTCTGTTGCAGTGTATGTGTTCATGATGATTCCTCATGTTTTTTTTGTCTGACATGTCTGGCTTGTGTTATTTATGTCCAGACACATGTTGATTCTGAGATTCGAGCCATCATGGCACAGTACATGCCGTTGGATGAATCGGACGAGCTTCCAACGGACGTGATCGGCGAGAGCCTTGTGCGGATGCAACAGTCCAACAACTAAGCTGCAGCTTGTGAAATTGAGTGTTAATATTTTGTTTTGAAAACCTAATGCTATGTAGGTTGTGACGGGCTATTTGTAAGGAGAATACGTGTTTGTTCTTGTAAGGAAAACTATTATTGGCTGTATCTGATTGCGACGAATCGCTGACCGTGATACATGAGCTACTGAGGCAGCGAGGAGCTGGATCTGCAGACCTGGGTGCGGGTGTGTGCTGGCTTGCGCTTACTGTGACGCGTCACCAACTCCAACTTCCAGAATCCAAGTCACACACGCGCACGAACGGTTCTGAATTCCCGAGACTCCTTGGGAATGGCCTGGCCCGATACACAAGTGGCTTTTCAATTCACCTCGTTCGGTGTACCTCAGTTCACGAAATGAATCTCTTAACCTGAAGAATCGCACTGAACCGAAGAAAAATATCCTAAAATATTCAGGAACCGCGCATATTGAGTTTGGCGATGCATTCTCAGCAGCCAAGTGATTATTACACTGACAGGGAAGGATAACTGTCAGTCTCATCACCATGGATTTCATATGAAGCAGCAGGTCTGAGCAGCAGAAAACAGAATCTCGAATAACCTGTTATACAGCCGTGGTTTCGGCAGTAGGAGCAGGAGTCGCAACAGCAGAGGCACACGTTTCTGCTTCAGATTGCCCGAACCGTGGCCCTCTTTGTACCCTGTAAACAAGAGATATTATCATCCTGTGCTGCTGCTGCTGCTGCTGCTGCTGCTCATAGGCGACACGCAGCTTGTCCTGCCGAGCTCTCAAATAGCTGCTTGTAGTTCCGCTGACACGACTCCGAGAATAGTTCGTACTTTTATATTTCGAAGCGGACTCGCCTCTCCGTTTTGGGTTGTCGGCTCTCTTTTCCCTTCGAAACGACTCATTCTGTATATTTTCCATTATGGCGAGCCGTGCGTTAGCTGCTGCTGTTGCACGCCGAGGGTTTCGCGAAAGTGAACGAACGCTACGAAAATTATCTGGTTTGGCTCCGCTCGTTACAGCATCAACAGCTCAAGACGCTGCTGGAATCGGACAGACGAGAAGCTTCGTTGTTAGGGTTGGTTCGACGAACCACGGAACCTACGGTGAAATGCGGAATGGCGGCGGAATGGAGCTCGTGGGAGATTCTAGAGTGATTTCGGTAGAAATCGGCCTACGGTGGACGTTGGAAGCTAAGGCGTGAAAAGCGGGAGAGAAATCGGGAAGAAACTGGAGAAATGAAGGAAGAGTGGAGAAGAATCGAGAATGAGTTCGACGGGGGAAAATGTGGTTCGAGACCAAGGCGTGTTCGAGAAATTTCCAGATTCGGGCTCAAGGAGTGTTCGGTGAATTCGGTTCGGTTGCGTGTGCGACTCGGGGTGAACGAGGCGCACGCGGTTACTTGGGAAACAAGTGAAGTTACGAATCGCATTTTGTGTCTTGCCTGACTATAAACCTGTTTGTACTCATTCTGGAAAGACAACATTGAAACTTTGAGATTCTGAAAATTGCTGAAGTGTGTATTGACAACTTCAAGCAGAGCTGCGCATATCATTGGATTCGTGAGATCGTGGAGAACACGATAAGCAATAGCAAGTAGACTATTGCCGACTAAGGTGTTTACGATCCTAAGAACTGGTATCAGAGGTTGACGAACGGGCTCGTCGATCGTCGCGAATTCACTTGGTGCGCTAAGTGAAATTAGTGGAGAAGAGGAGTCGTTCACGCCTACGCTATGGGAGACGAGGCGAGTTCGGGTTCCAGTGTGAGTCTTGGAGACCCGCAGTTGAAGGCTCTTCTCGAGGCCCTTGCGAGTGGCCGATTGGTGGCGAAACCGACGATCGGGCTCAGTGAAGCCCAGCGCTTCAACGGAAGCAACTACAACGTGTGGCGAAAGAAGTTCATTCGAAGGGCAGAGGAGGTGGACCTCTTGCCGTACTACCGTCCCGACGAGGAGACGATGGAGGGAGTTGCGCCATCCCCGACGGATACGAAGGAGAAAATAGCGGCGTTCAAAAAACAAAGTAAGCAAGCGTTCTTTCAGCTTTGTCACTCAGTTGCCGATGGAATCGCGGTGGATTTGGACCAGTTTGCAGGGGAGCTGAACTCTGCACAGAAAGCATGGGAGTACCTGGAGTCCACGTACATGGGCACCAACGATGTCAACAAGAAGGCGATCAGGAAGCAGCTGCTGATGCTGAGCATGGAGAAAGGCGAGAAAATCATCACCTACATCAACAGGGCGAAAAGCTACAACGACGATTTGCGGGTGATGGGAGCCGCGGAGACGGAGCATGAGATGATTGACTATATCATCCAAGGCCTTCCTAAGGAGTGGGAATCCGACATCGGTATGTTTACGTACCAACCGCCGGAGAGTTTGACGAAGCTGCAGGAGATTCTACAGTCGCTTGAGACGATGAAGGAGATGAGGAAAAAGAAAGCGGCAGCAGCAGCTAAGGAATTCGACGAGGAAAGGCCGGCTATGGTGAATGCAATGAAGGCGTTTGGAGCGTGCTACCAGTGTGGAAAGAGGGGGCATAAGGCGATAAACTGCTACGAAAATCCGCGAAGCAGAAACTACAAGGGCAAAGCGGTGGAGAACGAGAAAGGAGAAAATGGGGGAGCAGAGTGGCAACAGAAACGAGGTTTTGGCGGCAAGTGTGATTATTGTGGGCGCTACGGACATCGTGCCGCAGAGTGCTACTCCAATCCGAACAGCGTCCGTCGCAGCAGAGGATTGTGGCGGGTAAGGCGAATGTAGCGGAAGCCGAAAAGGAGGATGTGATTTTGGGAGGAGCGCATCGTGCGAACGTGGTGCGTTTACCGAAGGATGTTCGTTAGACGGACGGACGTGAGAAGACGGCGTGGTTCATGGACAGCGGATGCACGCGTCACATGACATTCAGGTCAGATTGGATGGAGAACGTGAGGGAGTCGAGTGAGGATTATATACTGCAAGGAGTGTGAAGTTGCCAGTGAGAGGAGAGGGTGACGTGGTGCTGCAGAGTCCGTATGGAGAGGTGAAACTGGAGAGTGTGCTGCTGGTTGAGGATTTAAAGGTGAACTTGGTCAGTCAGTCACAGCTTGATGACTTGGGGTGCAAGATATTTTATGACAAAGGCGAGGTTACAGTGTTTGGTCCTGAGTGGGAGAAGTATGCCGATGGATACTTCAGTGACGGGTTCTATGAGATGAACTTGATAGCGATGAACGACAAGGATGAGATCTATGAGGATCCTGAGTCTACTGAGGTTGATGAGAGCGAGGACACGGATGATACGGGAGCGAGTGTGGAGGCAGCAGAGAAGCAGGAAGAGGAGATAGTCACCATGGAGGCAGCAGCAGTGAATGGTGGAGATGGAGATGGTGTCAACACTTTTGCAGCAGCGATCGTGGTTGAAGATGAAGCAGTAAATGCAAAGTGTGTGGGAGTCGCTGTGAAAGGGGACATCATGGTGAAGGGATCAAAGGCGAATGCAACTGCAAAGGGTAGAGTGCTTACGAAAGAGGAACACGTTGAGGGGTATGAGACCCGAGAGGTGTTGCGTGTTGAGATGCCGAGGAGCAGCGAGAGGATCAAGAAAATCTCTCAAGGTTTGGATGTCAAGGCGCTCAACTTCAAGACACGTAAGCAGAGGTTCAAGGTGCAGGAGCTGCAGGGGAGTGTGAAGCCGACCTAGACCCTGTGAAGGCTACAAGGAGCAGGGGAGGAGTGCGAGTGGAGTTCGTGGTTGACGAACCACAGGGGAGATTGTTAGGGTTGGTTCGACGAACCACGGAACCTACGGTGAAATGCGGAATGGCGGCGGAATGGAGCTCGTGGGAGATTCTAGAGTGATTTCGGTAGAAATCGGCCTACGGTGGACGCTGGAAGCTAAGGCGTGAAAAGCGGGAGAGAAATCGGGAAGAAACTGGAGAAATGAAGGAAGAAGAGTGGAGAAGAATCGAGAATGAGTTCGACGGGGGAAAATGTGGTTCGAGACCAAGGCGTGTTCGAGAAATTTCCAGATTCGGGCTCAAGGAGTGTTCGGTGAATTCGGTTCGGTTGCGTGTGCGACTCGGGGTGAAACGAGGCGCACGCGGTTACTTGGGAAACAAGTGAAGTTACGAATCGCATTTTGTGTCTTGCCTGACTATAAACCTGTTTGTACTCATTCTGGAAAGACAACATTGGACAACATTGAAACTTTGAGATTCTGAAAATTGCTGAAGTGTGTATTGACAACTTCAAGCAGAGCTGCACATATCATTGGATTCGTGAGATCGTGGAGAACACGATAAGCAATAGCAAGTAGACTATTGCCGACTAAGGTGTTTACGATCCTAAGATTCGTGAGAAGCTTCACGGTTTCGCCACATCAGAGACAGGTGAGATAATTGTTCTCATTTTGTTTTTTCGCACCATTTCCATGTATCAGGTCCTTCTCTTACCGTTTCTTACTCTCAGACTGAAGTACAGAATTCTGGCCTTCCATTCTGTTGGGTATGCAAGGCTGCTTCTGACACGTATGCATAGTCACCCTCTGAATCTCTGGTTTCACTCCACAGGAGCCCAATCTGTCGTCAGCCGCCACGTCAGCATCCACGTCAGCCGCCACGTCAGTCGCCACGTCGTCAGCAGCAGCGGTAGCGGTATCTCACGAGTTCCCAGGCGCGCGCATGGCGTTCACTTCTGACCTTCAGTTCGTGCCTGAGCATCCGGAGTCTCCTGTGCCGTGCTTCCGTGTGCTGGACCATGAAGGGGGGCTCGTGGAGGGCGGAGAGGAGCCCGAGGTGAGTGAGGGAGCGAGTGAGGGAGTGAGTGAGGAAGTGAGTGAGGGAGTAGAAGCAAGGGAATATGTTTGCGCATGGCATTCACGTCGGATCTTCAGTTGGTGCGGGAACAACCAGAGTGGCCAGTTCCATGCTTCCGAGTGCTGGACCACGAGGTGGGGCTCGTGGAGGGCGCTGAGTTGCCCGAGGTGAGTGAGGGAGGGAGGGAGGAAGTGAGTGCGTGAGGGAGGGAGTGATTGAGGGAGTGAGTGAGTGAGTGAGTGAGTGAGTGAGGGAGTGCACATTCTTTCCCCCCTTCTCAGTAACCCCTTACCAATACCCCCCCTCTTTCTGCCTCTCTCATTACCTCTCCCTCCCATTACCTTCTCCCGTCATCGCTTTCCTGCCACCTTTCTTCCCCAGCTGACTCCATCCGAGGCAGAGCGCCATGTACGGGGCAATGGTGGAGCTGCACTGCAGGCAATGGATTCGGTGTTCGATCCTCCCACCCACAACCTTTATTCATCCAATTACCCTCTCCCACCTGCTTTCCCCCAGCTCACCCACTCTGAGGCAGAGCGCATGTATCAAGCAATGGTCGAGCTTCAAGCAATGGATTCGGTGTTCTACGAGGCGCAGAGGCAGGGGCGCTTTTCGTTCTACATGACCACGGCGGGGGAGGAGGCCGTCAACGTCGCGTCTGCCGCCGCTATTCACCCCCACGACCACGTCTTTGCCCAGGTATGGTGTGTTGTGGTGTGTTGCATGGCCAACCGGCCATACGCAGGCAAGGGACACATAGAAGCAGCACGTGCGACAACAGAGGCATCGTCGCACACTTCCCCGTGCAAACCAAGCATTTACAGCTCTCAGAATTATGAGACTCAGAACTCTCAACTTTGACAAAACGGTTCGTGTAGGCACCAGTTCAAGTGTTTTACCAGCCATATGCCACGTCTTTTAGTATAGCTAGCCTTGAAAACTCAGTCGCGATCATGATGTAGGGGAAACCGTGCGCCTATAGACCTTGGCGCATTCCGTGACCCGCATTCTCTAAGCCCGAACACGGGAAAATCATCAAATTTAGCGTGTCCAATCCCCACCTTCGTCCTCTCCTCGCCAAAAACTGCCGGCGTGGGGTTCATCGCCATTCATCAACCGCCCTTATTAGGTGAAAGGGGAAGGTCGCAGTAGCATGAAGGGTGGAAAGGACGATAGGGACGAGCCAAACGCGGCAAACGCGGCAATGGGGCGATATCACCGAAGTCGCGGGACTAAGGCCCGCCGAGACGCGGGAAAGGTGTGTACCCTGCCGGTGAGCGCGCGCACACCTCCCTTCAAGGGGCGCGCACCCAGCTGTAAGCAGCGCGCACACCGCAAGCAGCTGAGTGCGCCCCGCTGTAGGCATCACGCGCCACCTGAGCCTCAGCGCTCGCCCCGCTATAGGCATGAGGCGCCTCTTTAGCATCAGCGCGAATGCGCCTGTAATCTCACGCGCCATTCGTCACGTAATCGCGCATGGTGCGGGTATGTCAAGCACTACATGAGAGGGGGGAGGAGGAGAGGACAGAGGGGGGGAGAAGGTGCGCTGAGAGGGGGGAGGAGGAGAGGACAGAGGGGGGGAGAAGGTGCGCTGAGAGGGGGGGAGACCCGGTGCTACCCCTCCTATCCCCCCCTGCTTCTCCTCCTTTCCCCCCGGTGCTACCCCTCCTTCCCTGCTTCCCCCCATCCCCTTCCCTGCTTCCCCCCATCCCCTCCCCTTCTTCCCCCCATCCCCTTCCCAGCTTCCCCCCATCCCCTTCCCTGCTTCCCCCCATCCCCTTTCCTGCTTCCCCCCATCCCCTGGCACCCGCACTCTCACTCTCCTTTCCTCCCGCACTCTCTCTCTCCGTCCTCTCCCACTCGCACTCTCCTTCCCCCCACCCTCTGCCCAGTTGTCACCTGCCCTCCCAATGCCTGCCTTTCCCTCCCTGCCCTGCGCTTTCCTTCCCCATCCCTTCTCAACCCTTCCCTTCCTTTTCATGCCCTCCCCTTCCCCCTCACTCCTCACCTTCCACCCTCTAGTTCCCATGCACGTGCACCCATCACTGTCTCCCCATACATTATTTCATCATGTGCGCTTGCTTGTGTTCCCTTGCAGTTGTTCCCTTGGCACCTCACACCACCTCCCCCATGTTCATTCACACAATTCTTTCTGCCTACTCCACTCCCCTAATTTTCAGTGGTGAAGCAGAAGAGCAAGCTGAGGCGCAGCTAAAGCTAGTCCATGCTTTACACCGTACCACCACCTGTTTCTTGTGTGTTGTATGCAATCATGTTCTGCGGGGGGGAAGGAGGAGAGGACAGAGGGGGGAAGGAAGGGTGATATACCAGTTTGCGATAAATTCCCCTAATTTCCCCCCAATCCCCCCTCCGCTCCCTCTCATTCCCCCCTCTGCTCCCTGTCATTCCCCCCCCCCCTGCTCCCTCTCATTCCCCCCTCTGCTCCCTCTCATTCCCCCCTCTGCTCCCTCTCATTCCCCCCTCTGCTCCCTATCATCCCCCCCCCCCCCCCTGTTCCCTCTCATTCCCCCCTCCGCTCCCTCTCATTCCCCCCTCTGCTCCCTCTCATTCCCCCCTCTGCTCCCTATCATCCCCCCCCCCCTGTTCCCTCTCATTCCCCCCTCTGCTCCCTGTCATTCCCCCCCCCCTGTTCCCTCTCATTCCCCCCTCTGCTCCCTCTCATTCCCCCCTCTGCTCCCTCTTATTCCCCCCTCTGCTCCCTGTTATCCCCCCCTCCGCTCCCCATAAATTACAGCTCTGCTTTCCCATCAATTCCCCTACTGCACCAGGTCAATACAGAACCCCCTCTGCTATAAAATAATTTCCCCTTGTGCTCCCCATCAATTTACTCACTCCTTCCCCTCATTTCCCCCTTTCCCTCCCCTCCTTTTCAGCCTCCCTCTTCTCCAGCTGCTTCAGCCTTGACACTCAGGATTTTGTCAGAACTGGTCCGCCACGCATGAATTTTGTTAAGCTTTAGCTATTAAATAGTACCGGTTTGACAAGTACCCATGACATGTATCAATGTTGGATGCTTCTTTATAAAAATCACTTCAGTGTTTAGGATACTGAACTGAGCCATTCAGTTGATCACTACAAAGAAGTGCAACAAAGGTTTCCAGACAAGTCACCTTGCCTTCCAGACACAGCAGGTGCAGCAGAGGCAGCGAGGGAGGAGGGCAGGCCATAGCTGCCCTGGCGCCACCCACCCCCCACCTGCACCACACGCATCGCCTCATACCCCGCCACTGCCCACTCCCCCTGCACGCCCTGACTCGAACCAACTGCGCCCCCCACTGCCTTCTCGCCTCCACTGCCAGCATCTGCATCAGCAGGCTTTGTGTGTGGCGGCAGTGGCAGGAGGGCTGTTGCTTGTGTGCGACCAGGTGCGATGGCGGAGAGGGACGTCCACAAGCAGATGGACGAGAGGGCGTATGGCGGCGTGAAGGCGGGTGGGGGTGGTGAGGTGAGGGTGAAGGAGGGGGGAGTGGCTGGTAGCAGCGGCTGCAGATTCCACTGCACAAATGGGTTCAGAGCGTTGCAGTTGGTGTACGGCTCTCCTGAGGGAGAAGGATGGGGACAGGAGGGCAGGAAGAGGGATGGGGTAGAGTGGAGATGAGAGGGGAAAGGGGAGACAAGATGAGCACTCAGAAATAGAGCACAGAATCAAGGCAGAGGGTAATCAAGTGGAGGCGAGGAGGCGGGCAGCGAGCAGCAGCGAGTGGCCCACAAGCGCTACTGAAGCATCCACCCTGCTTCATCCCCACCTCTCACCTTCCCCACTGCCCTGGGAGCGGCTCTATAACCCCCCCCTCCCGCCCCTTCCCACTGCTCAGCACCCTGTCCTCCTTGTGTTCTGCCACTAAGCAGTGGCAGCAGGCAATCATACATCATGGTGATAATCAAGCACAAGGAATTCACCCACTCAGCTCGCACCCACACCACCATCCTTCCAAAACCCATGCCCCCTCTCCCCTCCTTGGCCTGCCCGCCGCGCATGCTCCTCCCACACTATCTGAACCGCCTTGGGGTTGGCCCCCGCTGCTTCTACCTCTGCTGGCTCTATTCCCTGGTGTGCAAGTCATCTCACTGCCTCCCACTGCTGCTTGGTCACTGCATTGTGTAATGGAGTCCCTGGGGGAGGGCAGAGGGCGGAGGGCAGAGAGCGGGGGGCGGATGGTGGATGAGAGAAGGCGGAGGGATACAAAGAGGAGGAAAGCGGCTCTGGAAGCAGATGCAGAGCCAGAGCAATTCAAGCGGGGTGCAGAGGGCACCGCAGGGTAGAGCGCATGAAGGCAAGAGGGCTAAGAAGCTGGGTGGAGAAAGAAACGAGCGAAGCACTTTCTACCGTTCTTGCATTGAACCAATCATGGCACTCACAGCCGCAAGGCACTCACAGCCGCCAGGCACGCACAGCCGCCAGCAGGCACATGCAGTCCACGTGGCCGCCATACGCCGCCACGTGCAGTGGCGTGGTGGCGTTGCGCGTGCTGCACACCCCCGCTGGCATGCCCATGCGCAACAGCGCCTGCAGCTGCAGGCACATGCATGGGAGAACGGCGGGGAGGGAGAGAAGCGGGCAGCAGGGTGAGTGCGGTCCATGCCTGCGACATTATTGAAGGTGCATGTGAGTGCAGGCACGTGGACGGGGAGGGATGAGTGCACACGCGTGATGGACGGTGGGTTCAGAGAGTGTTGAGCGGGCTGCATGGCTGTGCTGCATGGGTGAGAGCTGGTGCATGGCTGTGCTGCATGGGTGAGAGCTGGTGCATGGCTGTGCTGCATGGGTGAGAGCTGGTGCATGGCTGTGCTGCATGGGTGAGAGCTGGTGCATGGCTGTGCTGCATGGGTGAGAGCTGGTGCATGGCTGTGCTGCATGGGTGAGAGCTGGTGCATGGCTGTGCTGCATGGGTGAGAGCTGGTGCATGGCTGTGCTGCATGGGTGAGAGCTGGTGCATGGCTGTGCTGCATGGGTGAGAGCTGGTGCATGGCTGTGCTGCATGGGTGAGAGCTGGTGCATGGCTGTGCTGCATGGGTGAGAGCTGGTGCATGGCTGTGCTGCATGGGTGAGAGCTGGTGCATGGCTGTGCTGCATGGGTGAGAGCTGGTGCATGGCTGTGCTGCATGGGTGAGAGCTGGTGCATGGCTGTGCTGCATGGGTGAGAGCTGGTGCATGGCTGTGCTGCATGGGTGAGAGCTGGTGCATGGCTGTGCTGCATGGGTGAGAGCTGGTGCATGGCTGTGCTGCATGGGTGAGAGCTGGTGCATGGCTGTGCTGCATGGGTGAGAGCTGGTGCATGGCTGTGCTGCATGGGTGAGAGCTGGTGCATGGCTGTGCTGCATGGGTGAGAGCTGGTGCATGGCTGTGCTGCATGGGTGAGAGCTGGTGCATGGCTGTGCTGCATGGGTGAGAGCTGGTGCATGGCTGTGCTGCATGGGTGAGAGCTGGTGCATGGCTGTGCTGCATGGGTGAGAGCTGGTGCATGGCTGTGCTGCATGGGTGAGAGCTGGTGCATGGCTGTGCTGCATGGGTGAGAGCTGGTGCATGGCTGTGCTGCATGGGTGAGAGCTGGTGCATGGCTGTGCTGCATGGGTGAGAGCTGGTGCATGGCTGTGCTGCATGGGTGAGAGCTGGTGCATGGCTGTGCTGCATGGGTGAGAGCTGGTGCATGGCTGTGCTGCATGGGTGAGAGCTGGTGCATGGCTGTGCTGCATGGGTGAGAGCTGGTGCATGGCTGTGCTGCATGGGTGAGAGCTGGTGCATGGCTGTGCTGCATGGGTGAGAGCTGGTGCATGGCTGTGCTGCATGGGTGAGAGCTGGTGCATGGCTGTGCTGCATGGGTGAGAGCTGGTGCATGGCTGTGCTGCATGGGTGAGAGCTGGTGCATGGCTGTGCTGCATGGGTGAGAGCTGGTGCATGGCTGTGCTGCATGGGTGCAGGCGGGGAGGCAGGTGAGACTGACCACGGGGGAGTCACCATTCCGAGCAGCCACATGCATGGCGGTCCAGCCCCACTTGTCCACCACGCCACTCAGCCCCTCTGCTGACTCCACCCCGCATGCCCGCACCACATGCCACAGCCCCTGCCCCTCCTCCTCCCCACCACCCTCACCACTAGTACATCCCCTCCCCCATGCACTCACCTCCCTGTCAAAAGGGACGACGTCTCTCTTCCCCCTCCTCGGGCAGCACCTGCTCTCCCCCTCCATTCCCCCTCCCCATCAACCCGCGCCTTATTCCGCCCACCCCTAATCTCCTTCCGCCCATCCCTGATCTCATTCCGCGCTTCCCTAATCTCATTCCGCCCTTCCATAATCTCATTCCATCATAACTACTCGCATTTCGCCCATCCGCAATCTCATTCCGCTCTTCATACTCTCATTCCGCCCTTCCTACTGTCATCCCTCCCTTCTTAATCTCGTTCCGCCCTTGTTCCTCTCATTCCGCCCTTCTTCCTCTCATACCGCCCTTTTTCCTCTCATTCCGCCTTTCTTCCTCTCATTCCGCCTTTCTTCCTCTCATTCCGCACTTCTTCCTCTTATTCCGCCCTTCTTCCTCATTCCGCCCTTCGTCCTCTCTTTCCGTCCTTTTTCCTCTCCATCCGCCGTTCTTCCTCGCATTCCGCCCCTCGTTCTCTCATCGCGCCCTTCATCCTCTCATTCCGCCCTTCTGCCTCTCAATCCGCCCTTCTTCATCTCACACCGCCCTTCCTACCTGTTTTCGACGTTCCAAATCGCATTACGCAAACCCTAAACTCATTCCGCACATCCCTACTCTCATTCCGCCCGTAGTAGTCGCAATCTGCCCTTCCTAATCTCAATCCGCGTTTTCCACTCTAAATCCGCCCATCCCGTCTCTCATTCCCGATCAAGGAAGATGCTCTCATACTAATCGTAAACGGGGGAAATAATGCTTAGCTGGCTTTCTATTTCGGTGTTACTACGGCTCAGCGACGGGAGTATGGTTGCTTGGCGTGGGCACTCATTTTCTGACTTCACACTTCTGTCAACCTCAAAACGTGATTGCGTCGCCAGGGTGGGTCGCATAGTTCTCAATCAGACGCAAACCTGTCCCCCAAGGCTCGTCTTACACCCAAACCTGCCCACCCAGGTTTGTTTTGGCCTTGATTGTTGGGGAGTTCGCTGTGTTCTTTTCACCCGCTCGTAAAAACTTTCGTCTTTCGTTACCCAATCACGGACGGGCAAACCCAACCAGGTGTTAAACCTTTGGAAATTTGAGACCCGAGCTTTAACGGTCACGGGCGCAGGCCAAAGTGAAAACTTGAAATCCGGGCTTGCACTTACACTATCTTAGCTAAGGGAAAGTTCGGCTGCTCCAAAGCTGACTTAGAGATATCACAAACACGGGATTGGCTAGAAAACGCTAAGGGAAAAATCCCCTTGGCACACTCTCGTGCAACCTAAGGAGAAAGGGGGGGGGGAGTGGGGGGGTCAGGCAGAATTTCTTGGGGGGGGAGGGTCCTAGAACCGGAAATCAAGACTTTGTGGGTGGGGAAGGCCTGGTTGGAGCACTTAACGCATCCGGGGAAGGGTCGAACGAAGCACTTAGTGGCACGGGTGCAGGGCGATCCTAACACTTTATGCAGTCGAGCTGGAGCGAAAGTAGCCCGGAATGTTCAGGGCATTAAGGGCATATGCCCGTCAATCGACAGGCCTGGTGCGGGGCTTGTGCTATCCCTGTCCCCGCTCAGGGAGGGGATCCAGGGATAGCACAAGTAATGTCGGGCAGGGATAAACTTTGTTCTTTGTCCTGGCTGGCCCTTTTGCTTTCAGGCCATCCAAACATCCAATGGTTGCTCGCGAGAGGAGATTTAACGGTCTGCGAAGGAAAAAACTACCTTTGCCCTGAAGATGCACGGAGGGGGGCAGGAAGATAGCGCGAGACTTCAAATATTTTGATGCGTACCGAGCCTCTTGGCCCTGTTCTGTTGCCCATCGGCTAAATGGTGGGCGGACAGCACAGCACCGCATCAGCTGTGCGAGTGGAGGCTCGGTATGCATAAAAATTTTTGAAGGCTCACGCTATCTTCCTGCCCCCCTCCGCGTATTTTCAGGGCTAATGCTTTTTTGTTTCCTTCGCAGATCGTCAAACCTCCTCTCGCCACCAACCATTGGATGATTGGTGGCATGAAAGCAAAGGGGCCAACCAGGACAAAGAAAAACATTTATCCCTGCCCTGAACCACTTAGTGCGGACCCTGGATCCCCCCTCTGACCCTGAACCAGGGCCGCACCAGTCCCGCACCCATTTTGCCTGTGAGAGGGGGATTGCTTGTGCTTCACTGATTCACCGTTCTTTTGGGCAAAGGCGAGTGGACAGGACTGCACAGCACTCGTTAGGTCTGGGAAGGGGTTCAGTTTCCCGAGCCTGGTATCAAGGAATACACCCTCGAAAACGAAGCTCCTAAGATCTCCGGTAGAACCCCGGAAGAAGCATCAATTTGGTGCTGTGCGGAGGGGTCCGCACCAAGTGGTGCGGCAACAGAACAGGGCCCTTGTAGCACAGCTTGTGCTGTGCTGTGCTGTCTGCCCACCATTAGCCGATGGGCAACAGAACAGGGACACGGAATGGACCATACGGCTGGGGCCTGAGCGCATTTTTCGCGTTTGCAGCAAAAGCATACACAATGATCGTGCTACACTTGAACTAGTTTGAGTAAGCATACTATAGACGTTTCCTTTTGTGCTCTAAGGAAGGCATGTGAGGGGGATCTGCGGTCGTGCAACCCATTGATACTACATATTATCCAGGATGTTTTTGTTAGAATTTGAAATGATTGAGTAGGATCGTAATACTTAGGATGGTAGCTTCCTGTCGTAGCGGAAGTCTTGTATGAGTTAAAGCCAGTTATAGGAGGCTTTGTCTGGACTAATAAAAGCCCATGTAGTGATATGTTTCAGGATCAATGTCTCTGAAATCAGATATATTATAAAATGACAAGCATACAGAATATATAGCTAGAGTAAAGTACCTGTTCGCCTACTTACTGTATTATTCACGTTATTCCTGTTCTGAAAAGGTACGTGACTATTCGTGAGGCCTTTAGCTACGTGCTGACGTCATCCTAGGGTGTGTAGTGCTTTGCTGACTTCAGCCTATCGGTACTTTACTGTTACGTGCGAAGTCTCGCACTGTACTACACGAATCCTTGAAGTGCTTAAGTCTTCATATTATCTCAACACTCCCCTTCATTTCTAGGAGTTCGGTGTAGTTGCCCGGTTGTCTCAGTAATGCCGCTGAGCTGGTTGCAGTGGTGAAACTTCTGTCGTGTCAGTTTCTTGGTAAGTGAGTCAGCTGCCATGTCACCAGTGGGACAGTAGACAAGGCGCATTCTCCCCTTGTCGATCGCATCCTTGACGAAGAAGTAACGCAGTGAAATATGTTTCGTGCGATTGACGAAGCCGGGCTTGTTGGCGATGGTAATCGCACTCTGGTTGTCGCACTGCAACGTAAACTGATTCGGCGTGACGAACTTTGCTTCGTCGAGCAGTTCCTGTAAGTATAGTCCTTCTCGAGTTGCAGCACACGCGGCAATGAATTCTGCTTCAGCCGAGGAAAGTGACACGAGTTCCTGTTTCGATGAGTTCCATGAGATCGGGCCAATTGGCTCGAGACGGAAAATGTAGCCTGTTCGTGATCGACGATCTGACGTGTCACCAGCGTGGTCTGCGTCGACATATCCGCTCAGGTACATTTTGTCGGTCGGTTTTCCTGTGTTGAAAATCAGCCCGACTGTTGGTGTTGCGACAAATTAGTGTAGAGCGCTCTGAAGATCGAGGTGATGTTCTTCTTTTGGGCAGCGTAAAAATTGTGCGAGATAGCTTGCGACGTAAGCAAGGTCGGGACGGCACGTGACTGCTGCGAAGAGAAGGCACCCGAGTTGCTGCTGGTACAGTTGTAGGCCAGCTACCGAAAGTTTAGTGTTGTTCATGATGTGCCCGGTGGGTGTAGACCGATACGGTGTAGCGACGTAATTTGTAGAAATCTTGAAACGCTTAGCGAGTGACTCAGCATACTTCGATGCTGTGAGGTGGATGGCGGAGGAGGTTCGCGAAATGTTTAACCCAAGAAATTGGGTTACTTCGGTGGAGACGGTTAAGTCAAGAGATTTCTTCAGATCTGCTTCGATGCGATCACCCAAGGAAGTCGAAGAATTGACGTAGAGAATATCACCCACGTATGCCACGAGCAGCGCGTAGCTCTCCTTGTCGTCTAGTCGATACATTCCGGGATCATGCGGCAGTTGTCGGAATCCAACTTATGTAAGTTTCCTGTTCAAATGCTGCTGCCACAGTCGCGGTGCTTGTTTGATACCGTACAGCGACTTCTTGAGCTTGCAGACACTTGGCGGATTTGTCGGGTAGGTATGTGGATATTCGACGTAGATTTCAGCATCGACGTCAGCGTACAGAAATGCGTTGGAAACGTCAATTTGTCGAAGCGGAAAATCCTTCGCAGCTGCTTCGCAGATGACGAGACGAACACTTGTGTGTCGGCTGACCGGGGCGAAAGTCAGCGTGTAGTCTACCCCATGAGTTTGGTCAAAACCGCGAACAACCCACCTTGCCTTATAATTTTCGTAAGAGCCATCAGCTTTCGTCTTCACCCTGAAGACCCATTTTCCGGTAAGTATATTTTTATTTGCGGCTTTTTCGATGGGTATGAGATCCCAAGTCTCCCGTTTTTCCAGGGCAGCCAGTTCACGATCCATAGCTTCACGCCATTTTTCGCGATGTGGTCCTGAAAGAGCCTGTCGGGCAGTTTTCGGTTCTGCGACTTTTGTAGAATTGTGCTGTACTGCTGCTGCGAGTCCGAGTATCTGAAGCCCAGTTTGATAGTTAGGACTGTCATTGGTCCGTCCTGCGAAATTGACAGGTTCACTTTGTTCACCACTTGCCCCCCCAATTTCGTCAGGATCGACGCGGATGCTGCTGTCAGTTACAGCTGTGAATTAAGAAAA